ACAAACACTATCTCTAATCGTGCTTTTTATCTCTTATTAGGACGAAGGGTTGTCCAACAACTACGATCGAGCATTACTACTTAAGATCAGAGGTTCAGAGATATTACATTAGAATACCTTCTGTTGCACCCAAAAATTTGCCCTCCTATTTTATTTAAGGCATGCTCATTAAGTTCCTAAATTGCTCAAGGTTTACCAAGAATTGATCAAATAAATTCTCCTCCTAAGCAATGGCCTTTCAACTAGTTTCACTTTTCACCAAGATGTGTGAGCTCCAAAGGCTTCAAATGATTTCCATGGCACCCTATACGCCTCAGCATAATGGCATAGCTGAAAGAAAGAAAAGAAGTGTACGGAACATGACGAGGTGTATGTCGAAAGCTAAGAATATGTCTAAGAGATTTTAGACTGAAGCAACTTCAACAGTAGTATGCATTCTAATTAGATGCCCAACAAAGCAGTGTTAGTTGGGAATTTCGATTATACAAGTTTTGAATAATTGACACTATGATCAAAGAAATAATAGTTCAAAATAAAGTGTGAGGATGCTTTTATGAAGTCTTCAATTGATGAAGATCTAGTAAAGAGCTTCACTACGTTGAACCATTATTGAAGGGTTCGTTTTTGAACTATTAAAATATAAGCTATTCGAAGCATTACATGGAAAGACATTTAGACTGTCATGTTGATTGAATTGGCGCTTCAAAAAGAAGAAGATTTTGAATTCAAAAGCTTTGATATTATCCAAAGAAACACGTGGAAGTCTAATGGTTCGAAGGACATGCAACCTTTAAACATGGTGTGATTCCATAGAAGGACCGTTAGGGTCGAATCAGCCAAATATAAGTCATCTTAGAGTTTTTGGATCAATGTGTTTCAGGTATGTATCTGAGCAGGAGAGGAAGAAGTTGGATGATCGAAGTGAAGTCTTGGTGATCATAGGTTATCCTTAGACTGGGGCATACAAGTTGTATTCACTGACTGAAGATAAACTAGTGATCAGTAGAGATGTGCTTGAAGACGAAAGCAAAAGGTGGGATGGAGTCGAAGTTCAGTTCGACAAGAATCAGACACAGTCACAATTGTGTTTGAAGGAGATGAAAATAATGAAGCTTCGATCATTCAAAATGAACAAGTTGATACTTCGACTGGTCGAATCGAAGAACCACCTATACAACTGTGTTCGAAGGAGATAAACAGAACGAAGCTTCGACAAGTCAAAATGAACAAGTTGATACTTCGACTGGTCGAATCGAAGAATCACCTATGCAACTTTGTTCGAAGAAGATGAGCAGAACAAAGCTTCGACAAGTCAAAATGAACAAGGTGATACTTCGACTGATCGAATCCAAGAACCACTGTGCAGAAGGAAAGAAGATCCACAAGAACAAGAACTGAGTTCAACTAGGCTGATTGGATATGAGAGGTTTCCATATCAAGCAATTGATGCAGACGGTGACTTAATCGAAGAAGCCATGATGGTGAAGCTTGATAAATTCGAATTGGTGTGAAGCCATGAAAGAAGAACTTAGAGCCATCTAAAAGAACAAAAACTGGGAGCTTGTCGAAAGAACCAATAAGAAACCAATTGATGTGAAATGGAGCTACAAGTCGAAATGAAAGCCTAATGGGATGAAGCCTGTTGGGCTTGGACTGATTAGCTTGAGTCCCAAATTCGAGCAAGACACCAACCATAACATGTCTAGGTTCATTATGTTTCAAGAAGGGCAAGAAAATTATCAAAATGGAAAATTTTCAAATCTTTTGATTTTACTTTCAAAGCCATGGTTAATGGCTGATTCATGCCATATTTGTTCACCACTACACCCCTATATAAATACAAGACCAAATCAGAAGCAGAGGGGACACACACATTGCCTAAAAAAGCCACACAAAATTCACAAAATTTTCATAAGTTGTCTTTGCAAGCATCCTCAGTCCAATCCAAGACCACTACTCACTCCCTGAAAGTCCCATGAGTGTTTCCCAGGCCTTAAGCAGTTCCAACATGTGCAAAGGCTTCCTCACCCGATCTCACTGTTTGGTAAAACTTCCTCGATCTCAAACTCACAGAATATACAATTTAAATTAATATTGATCATATTTACATATTGCTGTTGATGTTTATGTTTGATCAAACGTGTTACATGTGAGCAAAGATGCAGGGATGAGATCGTGCCATTGTTAGGGCACGATCTTAGATTTCCTTCGAATCTGTGGAATTTGGCCTTTTTAAGCCAGACTGAGATTGGATTTGAGATCAAGGGAGTCAAATCAAAGGGAAGATACCTGGGTTCGATACCCAGGTCGTGCGTTTTGTTTTTTTCTTCTAATAAGGAGTGCACATACACCATCACTCCCATACTTCCAGATGCTGGACAATCCAGATCCAGTGCCCTCAACATGCAGTCCATCATGCACTTTCAACAACCTCCCTCATTGGATCGAAAGGCAACCTGAGCCTTTTCTTGATCTGGGCCTGCATTTTGCAAACTGCACCCCCTGTTTACTTTTGCTACTAGGCCCATCTTTTTTTCTTCTTGTTTTGTTCATTTTATTTATTTATTTTAATTCTTTTTTTTAATTTTAATCAATAAACAAATATAAAAATCACATAAAAATAGATTTATGATTTTTCTTAATTAAATTTTAATTTTGGTAAACTAATTTACTAATCACTTTAACATTTTTTTTAAAAAATTAAAATTAATAGAACTTAGGTTTAATTTCATTTTCCTTTTCATAACAAAAATACCAAAAAACATAAGATTAATTTCTTTTCTTTAAATTTCATGTTTCTTTAATAATTAACTTTTTTTCTTTAAATATAGATCTAGATCAATTATTTTTTTAACTTAAACCATTTTCATAAATTAAAACAAAAACAAACAAAAGATTTTCTCTTAGGTTTTTTTAGACGTCCTTTCAATTTGCGCGTGTTATTATCTTTCGCATTCTATTTTTCATACTATTGTAACTGCCTACTGGATGTAATAAAATAACTAGGACTTTTACTTTTTCTGCTTTATTTCCCCCAAGTTTTTGGACATGTAATTAATCCCCCTCCCCGAAGTCTTATAATAGTTTAGGATTTACATTTCTGCACTTTTAATTTCTACAAACTATTAACTGTTAGATGTATGCCTAATAGGATTGTATGACAAGAATAACAAACAAACGCTAGCAAACTTAATACAAGACAAAAATAACTGAATACAACACAATTGTACATATACACCTCTAGGATATTCCACTTTGGTTGCCTTAGGAAAAATCAGTCACATCTCTCTAAACGTGAGAGATTTTAGTGGCTATCCTCCGGTTTAAAGATCATAAGTCCCTCGATGACCCTCTCGATGTTGCCTCTGTATGATCTTAAAACCCTAGGGTAATTACTAAAGTTTCTTGCTCAGTTGCCTTTGTAACTGTATAAACGTCCCTTCGATTTCCCCTCAACCATCCAACGACTAGGGCTACCTACTCACTAATAGTAGGATAACACTGTCTAAAGGAAAAGAGGATAAGAATAACTCTTTCGAGTAAAAGTAGATAGTTCTTAGATATTATACTCAAAACAAACTTTTACACTTACACAAAACTTTTTTCAAAAACATTTTCAAACACTTTGTATACTTTCTCTACCATTTCGAGAAATATTACAAAGTTCGTCACACTAAGGTGCTTTCAAAAATACTTTTCAAAACATACAAAGCACAAGGTATTTCAAAATGAGCTAAAGCATCTAAGAGCCCGTAGATAACTACAGATGAAAAGGGTGCTAACACCTTCTCTTTCCATAATCTACCCCTCTTACTTAGAAAACTCTCGAAAGGTCTTTTTCTGTTCTTTTCATCCTTTCCTTTGTTGGATAAAAGAAAAGTCGATGGCGACTCTTGCTTACCGCAACATTTACAAATACAAACGCAAAATCAGTATAACAGTCGGTTATGCCACCGTATCACACCTTCAGTTGAACGTCTCAAATGCAGCAGTGAGACATTCATCTCTATTTCTTGTAACAAGGTAGAAATAGGTGTTTGCATTCAAGGTGATAAGGGTCACTTTGTAGTAGCTCGAACTGAGTGGTTTTCCCTTATTATCGAGGTTAGCACATGAAAACTTTAGGCCAACTATCATATATTGAATAGGTGCATGATTTTCATTTTGACGGAGTAGATTTTAAGTTGGATGCTAAAAGCGTTGTGGATAGTCTGAAAAATCAGCTTCTGAAAGCTTTAGATTTTGATTTATTACTTATGAATGTAAATGTTGATTAGCTCTTTATATTAGAAACTCTCATATTAAATAGACAAGTTAATAATGTTGCTCATATTTTGATATAAGTGATCTTATCTCTTACTAGTTTTCACTTTTTATTAATATACTTACATGTATCGAAGAAGAACATACTAGTAATGAGATGAATAAAGTCTTTGTTAAAAGAAAGAAATTAAATTCGTGTGAGATTTAAATAGACAACAAATTTTTATTAACAAAACTTAATATCATTAATTACATATACAAATTTGAATTTGAATTCGAAATCTAATCTAAAATGAGAACAACACTTTATTTAAATTAATATTTATTCAAATTCATTGTATAACTAATATATATTTGATTTATATTAAAGATAAAATGTATACATTGTTCAATAAATTTAAAAATATAAGCTTTTCTCCTTACAACATTGACTGCATAGAATATAAAGTTTCACACCCATCTTATTTGGGGTTACCAATTTCTACGAATCTTCTTGCGTTACTTTATAAAACATCATATTCACCTAACCATGAAACAAGTAATAAACGACTTGAGAAAATGTACCCACAATTTGACCAAAAAAAAAGTGTTAGTGAAGAGTGGGGCCATCATATAAAAAAAAAAAGTACACCCAAGAAAATGGGACATCATATTCACACGTGCTTAATACAGAACCGGGTACTAAACGTGTCTCATTATTACGCTTCCTCTCTATAAACAGACAGATTGGTCCATTTATGAAGCATTGTGCACCATCTCACAAACAAATCAACAACACTTTCTCTCTTCTTTTCCTTCATCCTTCAACCAAGGTAACCTTTCTCGTCCCAAACTTCTTCAGTTTTAGAATTAATCTTTTTCTCTAATTTCATAAAATGAACAGGGAATGGAACACACTAGTTTGTTTCATGATAATGAACATCCAATGGATTCATTTGGATTCAACTTTGATGATATTTCATACTTCAACTCTTTCTCAGCATCCACACCTGAGAGTACTAATTCCTCTCATAACAATAATAAGAGACTCCAGTCAGAAAGCACACAAAACAACTCTTTCCCCATTGAAAGTCCTATTCAATCTATTGCCTCTGCAACACCACCAACTAAGCTAAAACTCAAGGCTTCTTCATCTTCGAAAATTATTTCTTTTGATAATATAAATAAGGTTAAGAAGCCTAAAACCGAGTCAGGGTATGGTGAAAACTTGAATTTTGGAAGTGAGTATGATAAACAAGAGAACAAGGCTGCGACAATGACAACGATAACCAACAGAAACCCGATCCAAGCACGAGATCACGTAATTGCTGAAAGAAAACGAAGGCAAAAGCTTAACCAGAAATTAATTACTCTTTCATCCATTCTTCCAGGTCTCAAAAAGGTACTAATTAGTTATACACCTTTGGATTATTAACATCTTAATTCTTATTACTATAATTAATTCACAATGAATGCGTGGTTTTCATGCAGATGGACAAGGCAACTATTGTAGAAGATGCTACAAATCATCTAAAGCAATTAAAAGAAAGAGTAAAGAGTTTAGAGGAACAAGTTGCTGATAGAAAAGTTGAAACTGCAGTCTATGCGAAGAGATCTATTCTCTTCTTCTCCGATGATGATTGCGAAGAAAACTCAGACCAATCACTCCCAAAAATCGAAGCAAGAGTATCTGGAAAAGACATGCTCATCAGAATCCACTGTGACAAACACAGCGGCCGAATTCCGACCGTGATACTCAACAAACTCGAAAAACATCATCTCACCATTCAGAGTAGTTCATTTTTGCCATTTGGAAGTAACTATATTGACATAACCATTGTTGCTCAGATGAATAAACAATATTGCTTGACGATAACAGATCTCATAAGAAGCATAAGTCAGGTTTTGAAGCAGCTCATTTGATTCAAAACATCAAGTTCAAGGCTTATGAGTCATGACTATTTTGTCTCAAGCAAATGGCCTTAGTTTATTATGTTTTTTAGTTATAATTTTCTTTTCCTTCTTTGGTCCCTCAAAGGCTAAGGTGTTTTCCTTATTTTTTGCACTCTGCCAATTTCGGGACTCTGCAGCTTATTTATTTTCTTCACAGAAGAGGGATTTTTTTATAAGATTTGTCTCTTGAGATTGATCTGTTTGATCCCTCTTTCACGTTGTGAAGATCGAATCACAATTTTGACTTTATTTATTTTATGTTGTTTCTTTTGTCTATTGTGATTTATCAGTTATATATAAAATTCTTCTAATTATTGGACATGGGAGTGAATATAAGTAAAGCCGATAATAGGGCTTACGATTTAGCTTATATAAATTCAGGTCAGACAAAATATTCTTTTCAATAGAAAAGACTTAGATTTTTTTATAAATCTATTTAGTTAAAAAGACTAAGTCTTAGACCATGAAAAAGACCTAGTCTAACAAATCGATCTATATAAATTAATATGAATAATTTTTTTATTATCATTATGTTATGTTTTGTACTTTGAATCAAAATACAAAAATAAAACTTGGTTATCTTGGAGAACTTATAAAAATAAAATGAAAACATCTTATGAACAATGTTATAAGTTGTTTTCACAAGTCTTCTTAAACAAATAGTTTCACAAAACTTATCCTAATAGGTAAGTTAAAATAAATATATGCAAGCAAATTTTTAGTCTCATTAGTTTTTTAATTTGCTAGACTATTTAAAAATTATTTGAATTGTTTATTTATATATGTCTAAAATGATAGACTTTTATGTAAGCTAAAATAATAAACTTATCAGTCTTTAGAAAAGACCAAACTCAAAACTAAAAATAAAAATAAACATATGACAGACGACATACTAGATTTATGCTTCAGCTTAACAAAATCCATCTCAGCCTAACATATTTCCACCCCTATCTTGAAAACCACCAAAAAAAAATACACTATTTACTAAATATTAAATAGAATAAAATTAAATCTTACAATGTAATTGGTAGAAGATACCTTATCTTATTTTTTGTGATTGTAGAAAAGTTATCCTCTTTTTAATAAGTTATGTAGTTTTAATATTTTTGACGATAAAATACTAAAATGATTAAATAACTTATGCATAAATGATTAAATAGTTGTGCTATATTTTTTTTGGTAAGAGTTGGAATTTTTTTTTTAAATAATCAAAATTTTTATTTTTAATACCTAACTAACGAGCCTTTTCCTATAATTACCAATTTAACCATGTTTCAAACAAAAAAAAAATGATTAAAAAGGAGGCGCCACTTGAATTGGCGTCTCCTATAATTTTTTTACTTTTTTCAGTTATCTGTGGATTTACTTGCGAATATGGTTTACCTGCGAATTGTCTTACAGATATCCTGCGGATTTACCTACAAACAAACACATGTAGGTGAATCTACAAGTAAATCCGCAGGTAATGTCAAATTCGCAGGTAAATCCACAGATAAATTGGAAAACGTAAAAAAAATATAAGAGACCCAAATTCAAGTGGCACCTCCTCTTTAATCCATTTTTTTGTTTGAAATATAGTTAGATTGGAAATTATAGAGAAAGATTGGTTAGTTGGGTATTAAATTGAAAATTTTAGTTATTTAAAAAAAAGTTTCTAAGAGTTGTGTTATATTTTTTGAATCAGAAATTTGCCATTTATTATTATCCTTTCAATTTAAAAGATTTTGTCTCTCCAAATGTGCCCAAGGATATCAGATTCATTATAAAAAGAATTAGTTCTATGTAATTTTAAACTATATATCTAAAATGTTGTATTTTAATAATTATGAAAGAAGCTTGATTTTAAATTGTAGTAATTCGAATTGTGGTTGTTATATTGTTGATGTGATAGTCTCTGTATCTCTTACATCTAACGATGTATGGAGAAGAATACACTATAGAGATAAATAAGTCGGTAATGAATTTATCAAGTTTGCTAACTTATTAACTCTCATATCCATCGATGTGTAGAGAAGGATATACCATATGATGTCTTTCTTTCAAGAGGAACATTTATAAAAAAAAACTCTTAATAAAGGAGATAAAATTATTTTACGATTTAAATAATCAGGAAAATCAGATTGATCCCTTAGAATAATTATTTTATTTATTTATTCTTTTAAATTAAATTTTTCTAACCCATAAAAATGAGCATGTTTAGTGTTCCCTAGAAAAAATGTGCAAGTAATGACAAATGAGGGTACATAAAGATAAATGTTCCAACACTAGGCATGACAACAAAACTCATACTCGCGGGTATCCACCCGAACCTGTCCCGAAATTGACAGGGAAAACCCGCTTTAATTGGGTTTGGGTTTTCTCTGATTATAAAATATGGGGATGGGTCAGGTAATGGGGACACTAGTACCCACCCTGAACCCGCCCCCGAACCCGCCCCATTTATTTTATATGTACATTATTATTTATTTTTGATAATTTAGAATATTAAATATGTGGTCAATATTTTGATAATTTATTTTGTATTTATTATTTATAATGTAATTTAATTTTGGAAAAAAATAAATATTTTTAGTAAAAAAATTAATTTCACTAAATGGATGGTGGCGGGGGGATGGGGGGGGGGGGGGGGGGGGGGGGGGGGGGGGGGATAACCGAACCCATTTGGGACGTGTTTGAGTTTTAATTCTCTATTCTCGTTTGAGTTTGGGGAAGGGAACGAGGATTGTTTGGGAATTCGGGTTTGGGTTTTGGGTGGTAAAAACCGTCCCCGACCCGCCCTGTTGCCATGCCTATCCAGCACAAGGCCCAACAAGAACCAAGAAGACTAAAATATGAGGTCTTAATCGATTAACACTTGTTGCTAACTGATTAGAAAAACTTAGAAAATGTATTTTCACATCAAATCCAAACACACCTTACGCGTCAAGTAAATAAAATCTCAGGAATTATGAAGATCTTACCAAAATCAAAAAGATTAAAGAATCTAATCGATTAGAAGAAAATTTAATCGATTATAAGACTCAGAAAAGGAGAATTTGGATATGATTTTTGGATAACACAATCTGCCCATAAAAATCTCTTATTCAACACGCTAAAATCCTCTAGAAGACACACTATAAATAGGTACCTCAATCTCCCTCATCTTACACCCGTTCTTACTTTCCTATATTTTTCCTTTTCCCGTGTGTGAGATTACACTTGCAAAATCATCATAAATCCTAGAAGGTTAAGCTTCACTGCCAGCCCTATCACTGATAATTTCACAACCAAACAACAAGAAATTACGTATTTCAAACACTTTGCCAATCGAACCGTCATGAGAATTCATACCATAGCTCCATAAGAATTTAAAGAATGCAATTTCTTCAAAAACTTTGAGAAGTCAACATCGCCAACCTTCTCTACACACCGTAAAAAAGAATTTATATCTACCTTGTGAAGATTTTCTTTTCAAACCTACATTTCACTGATAGAATACTTCAAAGTGAAGTAACAAAACATAGGATAAATCTTTTAGTATATGAATTTGGAAAGTTACTAGATCTTTTTCACTAAGAGAGACTCACTAAACTAAGAGACCAAGCAAATAGGTATAGCTACGTCACCGCTGCATCCTCCTTGATGAGAAAGTCATTATCATGCACACTTTATCTATTCACAGCTGGATACATCCTCTCTGAAAGTAGGATGACTTACTATGTGATGACTCACATCCTCTTTCCTAGACAAGGAAACTTTTGGCTTCTAACCCAAACAGATGTATAAAAAATTTGGCTAATAGAAAACAAAGTAAAGATCAATTGGTCCCAACAAGTAATTAACTATATGCTGGAAAACATGTCAAAAGGGACACACCTTCCATATGGAAATATGATCACAAAAATATTAGAAGAAACATGGTAAACTTTGAAGGTGAAGGAGATTTTAATGAAGGATCAATTGCAATAGGAATTTATGTCATGCCTTTAATGCATTTTGAATTAAAAGATGGAAAGATCATTGAAAAGACACCATCAGACAAAAAAGAACAAAATGGCTATAAGTCAGGAGACACCAATAGAAATCGATAGCTCAGAGACTCCCCTAAAATACTCACAAACATAGACCTTCTGAAAATCCTAAGTGGAAATATATATGTACTTAATGACAAGATAAACTTCATAGTACACCAAGTTATTCCTGACCAAACCAAATTACCACCTCACCTTTTCACCATGATGATCTTGATGAAGAATAGTCTCACTTAAGTTTTCTAGTTAAAATATGTTATGTACTTTTACTTTTTGCTAATTTCCCTTTGCACTTTCAATTTAGTAAATTTCCCTTATGCATCTTGAAATTCAATATGAGTGTATTTTTTTCGTCTTTTAAATGTCTAAAATGCCCTTATTTTGCAAATTTACTTCTCATAATGCATCTTTATCTTCCTTTTTGATTTTGGCAAATAGGAAGAGGTATACTCTCAAGGGGGAGGGTATATTCTCTATCTAACTTAGGGGTAGTTTAATCACTTCAAATATATATATATATATATATATATATATATATATATATATATATATATATATATATATATATATATATATATATATATATATATATAATTTCTTGTACCACCTCCCTCGAGAGATGCGTTGTGATCATTTAAAAGGGGGTGAATGTGGAACCTTGTTTTGTAGGTAATAGACCTTTAATCAAGACATCAAATTTTAATGATGACAACTAAAGGACTACTAATAATGAGTCAAGCACATTTCTCAAACGTTTAAAGATGCAAACCTAAGTGTTATGCTTTAATGAACTTGACTATCCGAAGAAGGAAAATAAAGTGGAAATTATATAAAGCCTCAAGTGATCTCAAGCAGTGTCAACACAAAGATAGTCTCTGACAAATGGCTTGTAAGAAAGGAGTTACTCTACTAATTTAGTGAGTGAGTGGACTTATGAAAGCAAAAGGGTTTTTCCATAAA